TCATCATCATCATCATCATCATCATCATCATCATCATCATCATCATCATCATCATCATCATCATCAGCTGTAAAAAGCGCGTACTTGCATTAGAGTGACACAGTTTCGTTATCCGCTGATTTGGGAAGGTGGGTAGTTAGCTGTGCATCAGAGAACCGAGCTGATAAATCGGTACGTAAATACAGAACTTTTAATGGACTGTTGAGTGAAGCAATTGGGAAGAGAGTTATGTACTGAAGGCGTCCCGTAATCATCCATGGTCTCACGTGATTCTGTCTATACGACTACGCTTACTGAAAGTCACATCTAGCACAAGTGCCAGTTACACTGAATCTTGACAAAGAAGTGGGGGAGTGAATTAATTTGGACAACTTATAACGAGCTTCATGTAGATCAGTTTTGGTATTACAAAGGCATACTTGCCTGGATTCGTTTTCTCAAGGAGACTGGAGAAGGCTGAACGTGATCTGTACTCGTACACCTCCCCGTAAATGTGTACATAAATCCAGTCGCCAACGTAACCCCACAAATGCTAGTTAACTGTTTCACGTGTTCCACTGTTTCTACGTGCTAGGTATATCACTTAGACAGGCGTGTGATTCCCTGTCAACACCGTAAACTTTTCGAAAATAGGAGAGGACGTGTGTCCTTCTATCCAAGCCTCTTGAATCGAAAATACACACCTGGGCCAAATCCGATCACTTCAAGTGACGACAGCGTAAGTTTCAGTTGGCATCATTTAATGAAACAATCAGTATAATGTTGGAAAAAACGATGTAATAAGAAGGACAATGCGTAAATCAGGATGAAGGGGAGGCAACATTTGCAGGCGAGAGTTTGAGGTTAAACGCCGTTACCCGACGTTTGTATATTGGGTGATTAGCAAACTGTTCCTTCGGTGGAACAAGTCACCCAACATTTCAAGAATGACTATGTAAATGCTAGCGGAATGTAGCAAATCAATATTTGATGGTAGCGAGAGGGGATTTTGGAATTTTCAACTGAAATTTCGCCCTGTAACTAAAGTTAGTCGAGGTTGAAAAAATGAGAAGCACCGTATAGCTTCTTTATCCTTGTTGACAACCATTGGCGGCGCGCTTCTCACGAAACTCGAGACAGTTCCGAGACCGCGACCTCCCAGCTGGTAGCTTAAATAACGAGACGTTGGGCCACGTTCGGCACATGTGACTAACTCTCACTAATTGCATTTTGTCTGATATGATATGTTTGAAGCAGTTATTTTCGGTAGAAGCCTAGTGTAACGTAAAGAGCTGGATGTTTGCTAATATCTCGACGATCTACTTGCATTTCTGACGATTGCATCAACTCTGGATACACAAATAGTGTCCATGAGCCACCCACATTGCGACGAATGCCGGCCCAGTCAGCTGTCAGCTGTTTACCACACAGCTCATTGAATACAGTCCATGTTGACTAGCAAAAATCCTCTAGCGCGTTCACATCAAACGTATGTGAAAACCCGCCGTCAGTAGGTTTGTAAGACACATCATCTTGACGATGTTAACATCAATCGTTTCTTTCCTTCATTTTCTGATCGATCGATGTGGAAATTATGCCTCGTTTCAAACCGGTTAAGTCTACGCCTTTCGGATGGAATTTACTCAGCATCGAGGTTTTGTTCTATCACTGTGCGTTCTAAGATTTCTAATAATAGCAGACGCATGCGAATCTGTTACGCCCATTCGATGCACACACACACACAAAAGTTCTTTTCAACTTTACAGCGATTAGTTCCTTCGTCCATCTCGCATCTCTATCTACGAATTCGTTGTCATGACTACGGCAATCCAAGGTTAGCCAGTGAAAGGACACTGCATCTTCGATTGTGGGCGGAAGAAGATATCAAACCCAGATTCAATGAACTGGAGATATTGAGTGATGCCATCACTCCACACTGTGGTACCGGTTTGGTACCGGCGAACGGAGGCAAAATCCGACCTCAAAACGACAAAGGCTCATCTAATTTCGGAGATGGAGCTGTCCAAACCGCATGCTTGACAGTATCGTACGCGGTTGAACCAGGAACTGCGCTGTTTCGTGTGGATGCTGATAGCCCCAAGCTATCAAACCCCAACTACGTCATTCACTATCGGATCGTGAACGACAATACAAGTAAGTCTACCGTTTGAACTCAAGGTCCGGACCTATCATAGGAGAATACTTTCCTTTTGGATGTGTTCGTACTGTCCCCTTTTGAATGAACTGACCATCGCATCTCCAAAAGAGTTATCGGATTCCTTGTGCTGTCTGTGTGTGGGATCTGTGTTCCGGAGACAGATGGGAAAGAGAGATAGACACCTGAGCCAAGACACAGCAAGTTCTACAAACCAAACTGCTGAGCTGGGCTTTTTGGAGGGTACCATCGTGGTGTTCTATGCTTGGTTCACACAGGCGTTCTCCCTCCAAGTCTATAGATGTGTGTACAAGGATGGTTTTGTCCGACGCTGTGTTTGTCGTATTGCTCCTATCGCACATGTGGGTAAGACAGTAATTCTCACAAGATGGGTATCTCCAAACAACCACAGTCAGTGGACAAGAGGTAAGGCCTCGCCGACTGCCGCATGGTGAACAAGCCAACAACGGATAACAGAACCTGGTCACATTTACATGTATCGAAAAGCTCTGAAGGCATACAAATTAGCTCAGTGTTTACGACGTGAACAGGAAGGTCAGCGGTTCGAATCCAATCTCCGCATATCGACCGCTCCTGTCTATGCTTGGGCAGCTCTCAAGCTTCTTCTGGGCGGCATGGCAACTGGGCACAGAAAGTGTACCGCAGCCGAACGACTAACATTGTCATAAAAACAGCTTCCACAGATCACCGTTGATGGTTTTGCACTCTGCTTACTTATGGCATGTTCAGCGATCAGAACCACCAAGTTCGTTCATCAACACTCCACTTCCATTGAAGCGGCTTTTACCGAGTGAAACTTCAAACAGTTTAAAATAAGCGCAACTAATTGACAGATCCACTCCACAACATCTAAGATGGTGATGACCATCCTCTCTAACTTCTCAAATTTCACCTCTACAGGCACGTCCTAGCTAGCCAGAAACGCTAAAAGCTGGCTTAAACCTCCCACACTCACAGGTAAGGTAAGGTTCTGCTGCGATCAGCCGTAAGGGAGAGCTCAAACGGAAGCCTGAATGATTGTGAGCCTTCATATACGCTTTCTGAGCGATGCAAGTAGGTTCAACTGCTTTTCGGATAACTTTATGACACATCCACATAAATCGAACTCGTTTATTACGAATATCAGACCTCTATCCACGCAACGGCGAACTGACGAATAACTTCACCGGTCGCGTTGTCATGTTCCACAACTGATAAGCTCCGCTCCAATTCATTCGGGTGTGTTTCCCGTCGTTAGTTACTGGGAACACCCATATAATGGACACTATAGAAGTGGAAAGTGTTGTAACTTCGGGTTCAAAACAGTGTGAAACAACCGCAATGAAATCAACCACAAAACGGATCGTTAGCTGCGTAATTCCGTCTATCCAACCCCCACCACGATAATGGTTCATTGCGGCTCGTTTCAAGATTTTGATGACATTGTTAAAGGTAAAACTACTGCAATACTCTCATAGGTTAAACAATATCGATTGGAAGAGTTACAAGCAAAGCATGGAAAACAGAGCAAATTAACAAACCGCAGCTACAATGAGACGCTTGAAAAGACGTCACACATTGGGGATAATATTGGTAGCTCGGATATCATAGATGGTAGGTAGTCTGTTTGATGAACTGGGCGATTCAATTTACAGCGTTTCACCAACAGTCGAGCTGATTTCATCAATGCGCTGTAATGGAATGCAGTGGAGCATGTCGTCGGGTCAGCGATCGTGCTTTGGGTAGTGGTGCTCATGCGTTCCTGTTAGGGCTGATGGCCGGGGCTGACATTCGATCACGATAGGCTACTCGTTCGGAAGGTTCCATTGGTTGGTTTGTAGTCCTGTGTCCTGATTGGTCCTGACCACAAGTCCCTTGAACTCTCTTGGTCTCCCGGCCTGATCTGTGATTGAGTGAATTCTGTCATCAACTCGGATCTTATATAATGTGACCCAGTCAATAAAACCCTGAGAGTTGGGTAGTTACAGGATCTGAGTGCATAGAACCCACAGAAGGCGATCTTGTGAGAACTTCCAGGTACCCTGTTTGATTGTTCCAAGGTCATTCAAGCTGAACATATAAGCTCAAGTAGGAGGAAAAAACTAGCTCCGACAGCTAATCAATAGCTGGGTCTGGAATTCCCTCATCAACTCTTGAGCAAGACTTCAAACAGTTTTCGTGAAACACCGTCGATTTATTGTCAAAGCGTAATGTGACATGGTTGTTGGTCTGTTCACTGAGCTGTGCAATTTGATTACAACGTTTTACCAACAATCGAGGTGATATCATTAGTGCGTTTTTGGGGAGCGTAGTGGTGTTGCATGTTGATTAGTGTTGCGTGTGTGGTAACAGGTTCTGCAAGCCGGAGCTGATCTTCGATTACGATTAGATGTTCGATCGGGCGGTTCCATTGGTTACTCTGTTATCCTGTGTCCCGATTCGTCCATGTCCACGTGACCTTTGAACTTAGCATCCCCTGCCTCTGGTCGATGCTGGAGTGACCTCTGGTCTTGACAATTCCGACTTCCGGCTTGTGATCTTTACTGATCTGATCCCAAGGCGTTTCTTGTTTCTTTGTTTGTGAGTTTAATTTTAATTTAAATGTGATTTAATTTTAATCCTAGGGACATGCAAGTATTGTTCAGATTCCACTTTCGTAACTTTGGCTTTTCTGCAGTACCTACAGATCGATTCATTGATTTCTATCAACTACCAAGAGACAAGACTGTGACCAAATGCACCGTTTTCGACAGACTCACCAGACGACCGGTGTACCTGTGAAAACACCGGATATCATAGCAAGTGGACGAGTACGCAAGAGTAAACCAAAAAACACAGACAACAGAGGGAAATTATAATTCGCTGGGTGAAGTACACAGGAGTGAGATGGGTAGTGTATACTTTGTAACTTCTGGACACAATCTCCTAGATTGTGGAAGTAAACAGTTCAGGATTGAAGAAGCTTGTGCTGTCTTACTGAGTAACCAACCAGGACAGATGTGGTGAGACTAGATAAATGACTCTGAATACACTCATTCGCACATCAATTTGGCCTTAACGAGAGGTTCAACTATATCTCAGAAACTCGAAGACTGCGCCTGCCTGATGAACCCGAATAGGAAGGTCAAAACAGGTCGTGGGCTTTCGTGGAGATATCAGAAAGTTGTATTTTTTACCTGGGATATCAAACCAACACATTCATTTGAAGAACATTGCGACAACAGATTCGATTGAATCTCCCGTGAAAACCAGATTAGCGTGCAAGTGAGTTCCGTTTGTTCCGAATAGGAAGGTCAAAACAGGTCGTGGGCTTTCGTGGAGATATCAGAAAGTTGTATTTTTTACCTGGGATATCAAACCAACACATTCATTTGAAGAACATTGCGACAACAGATTCGATTGAATCTCCCGTGAAAACCAGATTAGCGTGCAAGTGAGTGTGTTCCGTTTGTTGTTGGGTGTTCAAGTTGACCTTGAGGCTGACGAAAACTCAGAGACTGCGTCTTGGTGATGGAGTTCGTTGTGGACTGTCAAAGTGTGTGTTCCATGCACTTTTAACCTCACAAGTGTAACCAGTGTCCCGCTAGTGAGCCATGGGAGCACTACACTCAGTTTCCGTTCGTTGGTTCTTTTGACGGTTGCCAGCGTGCAAGTGAGTGTGTTCCGTTTGTTGTTGGGTGTTCAAGTTGACCTTGAGGCTGACGAAAACTCAGAGACTGCGTCTTGGTGATGGAGTTCGTTGTGGACTGTCAAAGTGTGTGTTCCATGCACTTTTAACCTCACAAGTGTAACCAGTGTCCCGCTAGTGAGCCATGGGAGCACTACACTCAGTTTCCGTTCGTTGGTTCGTTTTGACAGTTGCCTCTGCTTTCGATTAAGGCATTCCCGCCCATGGGAGTAGCTGGGAGATCATCGAACTATTCATTTGGTCCGATTGGACAGTTTAAATATGGATCCATGAATGTGAATCAGGCAGCTCGTAAAGAGTACTCTTAGGTTCGCTGGCCTAACGAAGCACTAGATTAATAGTTCAACTTAACAATCTTCGTTGAATAGTAGCCTGATAAATAGCGTTATTATCAGCAGTTGCGACTGGTTCCTGACCGTTTATTTCTAACCTCTCTGTTTCTATGAGTCGTAGCCTGAGATTCAGACCGTAGGAAACCCATCGCCAGAGTTTCAAGAGAACAGATGGTCCAAGTTTTGTAAGCAAGTGTATTGACTCGGTCACATTTTGCATACATCAACAAGAGGTTACAAAGGCTGGCCTGTAGGAGCGTACACTGCGCCGAAGTGTTCCATCTAAGTGTCGTTGGAACAGTACTCTTGAAGACCAGAGACAGTTATCCGTTTCTTCCAATCTATTGTGAATCGCCTTGCCCTGTGCAGTGAATCAAATTCAGTCAAAACTGAATTTGTTCAATCCCGCATTGTACATTCACAGCTGGTCGTGTAGATTTTGACGTTTCCATGGCTACTATTAGTGATAAAGTGGCAATTATTCACACTGATAGGACTAACCAGGTCCACTTTGACTATTCTCGTTTTCTCCCACATCCCTCTCCATCTGTGGCACTGTTGAACTGCTCATTTCTACTCGCCTATTTGTTTTGACGTTGACTATTTTCACCGGTCCATACACCTGTGAAATTATCAGCTGATAAACGTATTGAAACAATGTGTCTGTTCACCATTTTCAATTCCCTCCCACCTCATCGAATTCTTGACTGGGTTTCTAGCCTATGATGCCATAATCAATGCGTCTTAGTCACGGATTGGTTGTTCACAATGTCAGCAAGCACTGGTCTTCCTCCCGTCGATTTCAATCAACTTAAATCCAAACCTATCCATCATTTTGTACTAACTGTAAATTGCATGTATCTGATTTGAGACACAGCTGGAAAAGGGTCACGTGATTCACGTCTCATCCGTCCCGATGGTTAGACAAATAGAAGTGGGGGATACGCAAAAGGCACTCATTTGCAAACTAATTTTGTTTTGCAAGAGATGCGCCTA